TCCCCGTTTCCCCCGCTGTCCCCCGTTGTTCCCCGTTTCCCCCCAATCCCCGCTGTCCCCCGTTGTCCCCTGTTTTCCCCCGTTCCCCCCGCTGTCCCCGTACCAGGGGCGGCCCCTCCACGGCTCTCAGGTAGCTGCCGAAGGGCTCCCAGGGCCCGAAGACCACGGAGCCGGGCGAGCACAGGTAGCCGAGCACCTGCGCGGGGCTGGGCTCGGCCGCGCCCGCGCCGCGGTCCAGGTCGAAGCCCAGCGACACGGCCTTCATGGCCACCACCATCTGCGCCCCTGCCGGGACAGCGCCCACAGCGTCAGGGCACCCCGAAACACCGGGGGGACCCTAAAACATCGGGGGGACCCTAAAACATCGGGGGAACCCGAAACATCGGGGGGAACCCGGAACACCGGGGGGACCCTAAAACATCGGGGGACCCTAAAACATCGGGGGGACCCGAAACACCGGGGGGAACCCGAAACATCGGGGGGACCCGAAACATCGGGGGGAACCCGAAACATCGGGGGAACCCCGAAACATCGGGGGAACCCGAAACACCGGGGGGAACCCGAAACATCGGGGGGACCCGAAACATCGGGGGGGACCCGAAACATCAGGGGGAACCCGAAACATCGGGGGGACCCGAAACATCGGGGGGAACCCGAAACATCGGGGGAACCCCGAAACATCGGGGGAACCCGAAACACCGGGGGGAACCCGAAACATCGGGGGGACCCGAAACATCGGGGGGGACCCGAAACATCAGGGGGAACCCGAAACATCGGGGGGACCCGAAACATCGGGGGGAACCCGAAACATCGGGGGAACCCCGAAACATCGGGGGAACCCGAAACACCGGGGGGAACCCGAAACATCGGGGGGACCCGAAACATCGGGGGGGACCCGAAACATCAGGGGGAACCCGAAACATCGGGGGGACCCGAAACATCGGGGGGAACCCGAAACATCGGGGGAACCCCGAAACATCGGGGGAACCCGAAACACCGGGGGGAACCCGAAACATCGGGGGGACCCGAAACATCGGGGGGGACCCGAAACATCAGGGGGAACCCGAAACATCGGGGGGACCCGAAACATCGGGGGGAACCCGAAACATCGGGGGAACCCGAAACACCGGGGGGACCCGAAACATCGGGGGGACCCTAAAACACCGGGGGGACCCGAAACAATATCGGAGGGACCCCAAAACATCGGGGGGAACCCGGCATCGGGGGGAACCCGAAACACCAGGGGGAACCCGAAACATCAGGGGGACCCCAGCATCGGGGGCACCCCGAAACATCAGGGGGGACCCCAGCAGCGGGGGGACCCTGAAACATCGGGGGGACCCCAAAACATCAGGCAGCCCAGCATCGGGGGCACCCCAAAACATTGGGGGGGATCCCGGCATCGCGGGGACCCCAAAATATCGGAGGGACCCCAAAACATCGGGGGGAACCCGGCATCGGGGGGAACCCGAAACACCAGGGGGAACCCGAAACATCAGGGGGACCCCAGCATCGGGGGCACCCCGAAACATCAGGGGGGACCCCAGCAGCGGGGGGACCCTGAAACATCGGGCACACAGACATCGGGGGGACCCCAAAACATCAGGAGGATCCTGGCATCGGGGGACCCTGAAACATTGGGGGGGATCCCAGCATCGCGGGGACCCCAAAATATCGGAGGGACCCCAAAACATCGGGGGGAACCCGGCATCGGGGGGAACCCGAAACACCAGGGGGAACCCGAAACATCAGGGGGACCCCAGCATCGGGGGCACCCCGAAACATCAGGGGGGACCCCAGCAGCGGGGGGACCCTGAAACATCGGGCACACAGACATCGGGGGGACCCCAAAACATCAGGCAGCCCAGCATCGGGGGCACCCCAAAACATTGGGGGGGATCCCGGCATCGCGGGGACCCCAAAATATCGGGGGGACCCCAAAACATCGGGGGGACCCCGGCATCGGGGGGACCCCAGCATCAGGGGGACCCCAAAACATTGGGAGGGACCCCAGCAGCGGGGGGACCCTGAAACATCGGGGGGACCCCAAAACATCAGGCAGCCCAGCATCGGGGGCACCCCAAAACATTGGGGGGGATCCCAGCATCGCGGGGACCCCAAAATATCAGGGGGGACCCCGGCAGCGGGGCATCCTGAAACATCGGCCACCCCGGCATCGGGGGAACCCCAAAACATCGGGCACCACGGCATCAGGGGACCCCGAAACATCGGGGGGACCCCGGCATCGGGGGCACCCCAAAAACATCGGGGGGACCCAAAAACATCGGGCACCCCGACATCGGGGGGACCCCGAAACATTGGGGGGGACCCTGGCATCGGGGGGACCTCAAAACATCAGGCAGCCTGGCATCAGGGGGACCCCGGCTTTGGAGGCACCCCAAAACATCGGGCACCACGGCATCGGGGGACCCCGAAACATCGGGGGGACCCCGGCATCGGGGGCACCCCAAAAACATCGGGGGGACCCAAAAACATCGGGCACACTGACATCAGGGGAGACCCGACATCAGAGGGGATCCCGAAATCAGGGGGGATCCCGACATCAGGGGAGACCCTGACATCAGGAGGGACCCAAAAAACATCGGGCACCCCGATATCGGGGGGAACCCCGAAAACAGGGGAGACCCAAAATTGGGAGGGGACCCAAACATCAGGGGGGATCCAAACATCAGAGGGGGCCCCGAAATCGGGGGAGACATCAGGGGAGACCCAATATCAGAGGGCATCCCGAAATTGGGGGGGACCCGACATCAGAGAGACCCCAAAATCAGAAGAGAACCCCAACATCAGAGGGACCCCAAAAACACTGGGGACTCCAACATCAGAGGGGACCCAACATCCGCAGCACCCCAAATTTAGAGGGGACCCCGAAAAAAGGGGGGACCCCAAAATCGGAGGGATCCCCAAAGCGTGGGGGGGGATGGGGTCTGTGGGGCTGCCCCCAGTCCCCCCCAGTCCATCCCAGTTTGTCCCAGTCCATGCCAGTCCATCCCAGTCCCTCCCAATCCCCTCCCAAACCCTCTCCCAGTTTATCCCAGACCCTCCCAGTGCCCCCAGTCCCCCCCAGTCCATCCCAGTTTGTCCCAGTCCATGCCAATGTCTCCTCCCAGTGCTCCCAGTGACCCCAAACCCTCTCCCAGTCCCTCCCAGTTTGTCCCAGTCCCCCCAGTCGCACCTTGCAGGCGCAGGCCAGCGAGAGCCCGCGCTCGCAGCACAGCCGCCCCTCCCAGTCCATCCCAGTCCCTCCCAGTGACCCCAAACCCCCTCCCAGTGCCCCCAAACCCCCTCCCAGTTTGTCCCAGTGCCCCCAGTCGCACCTTGCAGGCGCAGGCCAGCGAGAGCCCGCGCTCCCGGCACAGCAGCCCCTCCCAGTCCATCCCAGTCATTCCCAGTGCCCCCAAACCCCCTCCCAGTGCCCCCCAGCACCCCCGTACCCCATGAGCAGGTAGCTGAGGGCGGCCAGGGCCAGGCAGAGCCCGCGGTGGGCGCGGGCCCGGCTCAGCAGCAGGGTGAGCACGCAGAGCCCGCTCAGCAGGGCCACCCACAGCGCCTGCGCCCCGAAGAAATGGTGCAGGGCCAGGAGCCCCCCGGCCGCCGCCCCCGCGTGCTTCCCGCCCCGCGGCAGCGCTGTGGCACGGCCGTCAGGGGGTGCCCGAGCCGGCAGCACCCCCACACACGGGGTCCTGGACCCCTCACACGGGGTCCTGAACCCCAAACCACCAGCACCCCCAAACACGGGGTCCTGGACCCCTCACACGGGGTCCTGAACCCCAAACCACCAGCACCCCCACACCCGGGGGCCCTGAACCCCAAACCCCGGGGGTCCTGAACCCCAAACCACCAGCACCCCCAAATCCCGGGGGTCCTGAACCCCACACACCGGGGGGTCCTGAACCCCAAACCACCAGCACCCCCAAACACGGGGTCCTGAACCCCAAACCCCGGGGGTCCTGAACCCCAAACCCCAGGGGTCCTGAACCCCACACCCCAGGGGTCCTGAACCCCAAACCCCGTGGGACCCTGAACCCAAAACCAGCAGCACCCCCACACCCGGGGGTCCCTGAACCCAAAACCTCAGGATCCCTGAAACCAAAAATGGCAGCACCCCCAAACCCCAGGGGGTCCTGAACCCCAAACCCTGGGGGTCCCTGAACCCAAAACCGGCAGCACCCCCACACCCGGGGTCCTGAACCCCACACCCCGGGATCCCTGAACCCAAAACTGGCACGCCCCCAAACCCTGGGGGTCCCCAAACCCAAAACCCCCACACCCGGGGGCCCCTGAACCCCAAACCCCAGGATCCCTGAACCCGAAACCGGCAACACCCCCACAGCCTGAGGGACCCTTACCTAAAACCCCCGGGTCTCTGAACCCAAAACTGGCACACCCCCAAACCCTGGGGGTCCCCAAACCCAAAACCCCAGGAGTCTCTGAACCCAAAACCGGCAGCACCCCCAAACCCCAGGGGTCCCTGAACCTGAAACCCCGGGGGTCCCCAAACCCAAAACCAGCAGCACCCTCAGACCCTTGGGATCCCATCATCTCCAAACCCCAGGGGTCCTCGAACCCAAAACTGGCAGCACCCCCACACCCTGAGGGTCCCCTCACCTGAAACCCTGGGGTCTCTGAACCCAAAACCAGCAACGTCCCCAAACCCTGGGGGTCCCCTCACCCGAAACCCCCAAACCCCGGGGGTCCCTGAACTCAAACCCAGTATCACCCCCAAACCCTGGGTGTCCTCTCACCCAAAATCCAAAACCCCAGCACTCTCCTCTAGTCCCTCACAGCAAGGTGGTTGTTAAGGGGCGGGGCTCTGTTGCTATGGGCGGGGCCTCGTTGCCGGGCACTGTCTCCTGTTGCTAGGGTCCGTTGCGTTGCTAGGGGCGGGGCCTAACCGGGCTGCTTGCTAGGACGCAGTGAGGGATGCTAGGGGCGTGGCCTGTTGCCAGGGTGCGCGTTGCTAGGGGCGGGGCCTAATTGCCCGGAGCCGGGCGCTATTGGCTGTTGCCAGGGCCGGTTGTCAGGGGCGGGGCCTATCGCCATGGCAGCCAGGTGCCGCGGGCGCCGCGCGGAGCACTGTGGGCCGGTGGCGGTCCGAGCCGGCCCACAGTGCCCCGCGGCAGCGGCATGGAGCAGTACATCGTGCTGGGCCGCATCGGCGAGGGCGCGCACGGCGTCGTGTTCCGGGCCAAGCACCGCGAGGTGCGGCCGCGCCCGCGCTCTGGGGCCGCGCCCGGGCTCTGGGGCCGGGCTCTGGGGCCGGGGCCGGGCTCTGGGACCGCGCCCGGGCTGTGGGAGTGTGGGGCCGGGCTGTGGGGCCGGGCTCGGGCTGTGGGAGTGTGGGGATGTAGGGCTGTGGGATTGTGGGGCGGGGGTCGGGCTGTGGAACTGTGGGGCTGTGGGTCAGGCTGAGGGGCTGGGTTTTGGTTGTGGGGCCATGTTGTGGGGCTCTGGGGCCGGGGTTGGGCTCTGAGACTGTGGGGCTGTGGGGCTGTGGGACTGTGGAGCCGGGCTGTGGGGCTGGGTTTGGGTTGTGGGGCTGTGGGATTGTGGGGCCAGGGCCGGGCTGAGGGGCCGGGGGTCCCGGCCAGGCTCAGGCCCCTGCCTGACCCCCGTGCCCCCAGACCGGGGAGCTGGTGGCTCTCAAGAAGGTGCCGCTGCGGCGCCCCGAGGAGGGGCTGCCCCCCCAGACCCTGCGCGAGATCAAGGCCCTGCGCGAGATGGAGGCCCACCCCCACGTGAGAGACCCCCCCGGCCCCCCAAACCCGG